ATAAGTCAATGAAAATTAGAAAGGGCCAAACATCAGAAAAGCAAGATAATAGTAATTAGCATACATCTTTCTCTAATAACTCTGAATATAAAAGGTCTTAATTCTCCAATTTAAAAACACAGGATAGCCAGGTGTGGTGGCGTACACCTTAATCCCAGCACTCAGGAGGCCGAGGAAGGAGGATCATTGTCAGGTTCAGGCCAGCTTGAGCTACAAAGTGAACACAAGGCCAGCCTGAACTACATAGTGAGACTCTGACTCAAAGATAAAAACAAAAACAAACACACAAACAACAACAACAACAAAAAAAAAAACCCCACAGGGTAGAAGATTGAATTAAAAAAACAAGATACAACTCTGTTGACTGCAAGAAACATACATCACTAGAAAAGACATATACAAAGTGAAAGTGAACAGATGGGAAATGGAATTCAGGAGCAATCAAGAGAAGTTATATATATTTCCAATTACCCAGACTTTAAGACAAAATTAGAAGAGGCGGAGAAGACCACTACATATTGGTAAAGGGAATAATCCCCAGAGAAGACATAACAAGCTTGTAGTGAACAGTGGCCTCTGACTGCAGCTCCCTGTCAAAATGAGAGGCTGCATTACGATCATATTGCATTTTCATCCTTTCATCATTGTAGAAACTCATCGATTGCTGATTGTATACTGAGTGCGGGTTAATAAGGTGATGAAGGACTCACTGGATATGGCAGAAATAGTGAAAATAAAAGCTAAAAAGCAAGTAATTCTGCCCAAATACAAGGAGATGATTGATAAAAAGAATGAAATGTTATACAGAGAGTAGATCCAGTAATTCCATATTCTGTCTGATGTGAAAGCCTGATGGAGAAACATAGGAAAACAGAAGACAGAAATGAATTAGATGAAAGAATCTCCCCACACATGGAAATATAGAGAATAGAGTCATGGAATAATGATGCTTTTTCCAATGTGGTCCTTTCCTGGAGCTGTTTCTCAGATAACAGTTTCTCAGATCTGTTTCTCAGATCTTGGGAAAAAGCACCCCAATCAATGATTTGTGCTTTAATCTTGGGAAGTGAAGTACATTCAAGACATTTGTAGTGGAAGATTGGACAAAACTAATAAAAATGTTTTCCTTATACTCTGGAGTTTACTTGTAAATATTATTATGCTATCTCATTTTCTTTTATCCTTGTTTTTTTTGGGATATCAAAGTTTGTGCATGCACTGAGCTACTTCCTCAATCAATTACTCTATTTTTAAATCTAGAAACTGCAGTATCCAATATTAGGTAGATTTTAATTTTGGGAGCATAATTCTAAACTTGTGTTGTTAGATTTCTCTTAAAACATTGCAAATGGTATGTATATTTTTATCTTCCTCAAGTACTTCAATGAGAAAATCATAATGCATTATTTTTAATCTTTTTTATTCTGTTGACACACATTTTATTATATTTTTAATTTTCATACATATACAGGCAACGTATTTTGTTCATATCCAAATTGCCTCTATTGTTTTCCCTTACACTTCCATCTTCACTCTCCCTTATTTGCTTCCTCTTGTTTTTAAAATTCCACACATTAGAGAAAACTACTTGCCTTTCTGAGTCTGGCTTATTTAGCTTAACATGATAATCTCTAATTTTATTTATGTTTGTACAAATGATATAATTGCTGGTGGGCACCTACATGGATTCCATTGGTTGGCTACTTTGAATTTTGCTAGAGTGAATGAACATGGATATGCAGATATCCCTATAGTATTCTGACTTTAATATCTTTCTGTATATATCAAGGAGGGATGGCGGGATCATATGGTGTTCTATTTTTAGAGGTTTTTTTTTTTTTTTTTGAGAAAACACCATACTGATTTCAATAGTACCTGTAATGAATAACATTGTTAGCAACAGTGTAGAAGTGTTTCACTTCTTTTCACATCCTCATCAGCATTTATTATTTTTGTATTGTTAATGATGACCATTTTGACTGGCAAGATAGACTTTCAATGTAGTTTTGATTTGTATTTTCCTTATTTTCCTAAAGACTAAACATTTTGGACATTTCTATATATACTTATTAGCCATTTGTAATATTTCTTTTGAGAAATAGCTATTCATTTGCGTAGGTATAATTTGGGCATTTGTGGTGGGACTGTGTGTGCGTGTATGTGTGTTTTGACTTTTACTTGTTTCAATATTCTAAATATTCAGGAAAGTGGCAAAGATTTTGTCATGTTGTGTAAGTTGTATCTTTGTTGATTGTTTCTTTTGCTAGGCTGAAACTTTATACATTCCAATTTGTTGATTCTTGCTATTATTTTGCTTTTGGAGTCCTTTTCAGAAAATTTTTATCTGTGTCTATGATTCCAAATGTTTTTCTTCTTGCAGCTTCAATGTTTCAGGTCTTATACTTAGGTCTATGACTCATTTTGAACTGATTTTTGTGAGAGGCCGGGCTCTGGTTTCAATCTTCTACACGTGGTTATACAGTTTTCTCAGCAGCATTAGTTAAAGAGGTTATCTTTTTTCCCATGGACGGTTCAGGTCCCTTTGTCAAGAATCAGATAACTATAGTTTAGCTTTGTTTTAGTGTGCTGCATTCCATTCCATAGTTCTATGCATCACATAGGTAAAAACTATCCTTTTAGATGTGCCTTTGCTATATTTCCAAGATTCTGGTATATTGCATTCCCATTTTCATTTGGTCCTAAGAATTTTTATTTCTCCCTTGATATCTTTTAATGACCTACTGATTGTTGAAAACTGAACTGCTCACTCTCCATACATTCGTAAGAATTCTGCAGTTTCTCTTATTGTTGATTTCTAGTTTTGCTCCATTATTTTCTGGTGTGATTCAAGAAATTTTCTTACCTGCATTAAAACTAAGATGACCTGCTTTGAGAAAATTCCATAAATTGCTAAACATGATGTGTATTCTTCAGTTGTTGGACAAAATGTTCTTTAATACAAAGGACAAATAGGCCCCAATACAATAACATTGGGTGACTTTTGTACTTCACTTTCATTACAACTTCAAATAATGATGGAGAGGCAGGAGTGGAGGGCTTTTTCCTCAAGGCGATCACTGAAACACTTCTAGAACAGGACCAACCTTGTGAAAATCATATCGCTTCTCCACTGTGTCATTCTCTGGCTTCCTTCCCAGCTTTATTTTTCCACATATCATTAATTATCTCAGTTATAAAGCATATTTGACAAGGTTATTGTCTGTCTTCTCCACTGGTATTAATTTTAATGATCACAGTGAGTACTTTAACTTGAGTATCACTATATTCCTAGATTCTTGCACACCACGTGGCATATGGAAAATGATTAATAAACATTGTTGGGTGAATGATCTCATTGGTACTCACACACTGACAAGCAAAGCCAGAAGTTAATTTTCATCTTATGCTCTAGAATTAAAAATTTCACAGATTTTTGTTGTAAAATATTTGTGGTGGTACAGAAAACTCCCTGAAATACACTTCTTTATAACTCAAAATCTTAACAGATTCTACCTATTGACCCAGGTCTTTCTACTATAAAAAACACCAGACTCTTCTGTTTTGGCTTAATTTCAGTTTACTAATTTTTCATATCATTACTTAAAAATCATGATTCTGAAATACAAATTTAGTAATATAATTATAAAGTTACAACAATAGTTTTAAAATTCATTTTAAGGACTCAGCAGGTATCTCTACACTGTGTTCTTAGACATGAATCAAATATTCCTCTTGTGAAGATTCACTAGGCTGCCCCTTCCTTGTATTCGCTGTGCAGACAGGAGAAATAGACATTTCTGCTCGCTGAGAAACTGAAGAGCATTAGCATATTTATTAGTTTTCAAAATTCCAGGCTTAATGTGATTCATATTGGTAATTGCTAAGGTTTCTGCTTAGACTTTGATACCAGGAACGCTAGCATTAAGTGACAGTAGCTGCTTTTTCACTCATTCCTTTGAAACTCAGATTTGCCAAAGTCATACAATCGAAGAGTGCTCAGAAACTGCTGGAGTGAAGAGTCCTCAGATATTGCTGGGGTGGAAGAGTTCTCAGACATTCAACACACCTTGCTTAGAGAATGTGATTCCCAGAGGACCATGGTATGTGAGCATTTTCTTATGCTAAAGTGAACATTTTAATGCATTATTCAAGATAAGCACTTGAATAGCCACATCTGTTCTTTTCAAATCTTACATAAATAAATGACTGCGTCCAGTTTTCGGGCCAGAAGAATCTGCTCACATCCCTCTTCAATGCCACTGTGACGTGTACCACATAAAGCAGTTTTTGGAACTGTTTGTGCTTTTGAATGGCAGCAGGCTTCAGGCTGAACTGGCCCACATTGCAGCCCCAGCTGTCCACAAGATTGGCTCCTTCTCTTCACATGTGGGTCATTCCTCGGGATTCCTGCAGTCCTCTTTTCTTTCTTAGGCAGAGACTGGTCTTTCTACCTGTTCACATGCTTCCATTCTGAGATTTCTAAAATGTGACAGCCAAGAAAGAAGACCATGAGTAGCTCAATTCAATTCTCTCACTTGAGAGAGGACATGCTGATTGCTACAGATGTAGTGGCTGCTTAATGATAAAGCTAGAATTAGAACCAAGATTGCCTGATTCTCCACTGAGAACTACTTTTTCCACAGGCTGAGTGAAGGCTCTGACATTTTATTCAAACGTTCTGTAAGATTTTTCCTTGTTTTAACCCTTTACCTGCTTTAACAGAGGTGCTGGCATGATGGCCATGCTATGCTACAATTTTTTACTCTTACAGAAAACTCTAATAACACTATTCCTGTTGGCTTTGTAACTATGTGTCTTGGGAATCATCTTCTTCATGCTCTTCAGTAAGATTTCTAATTCACTTTTTCTTTGGTAGAACCAAGATGTTCCTGCTAGGAATGTCTCACAGAAAAGAATTTTTGTGTTATGCAGCTTCTGCATCATTCAAGGGGAGTTAAATAACAAAGCATAGTTTAATAACAAAATCAAAGATTTCAGGCTTTTGCACCAACTTTTATGCCTTCATTTATTTCTCATTGCAGCAAAAGATAAACATTTATAATTCCATGTTCAGTAGGTTTAAATGGTAGCAATTCCAGGAACACTGAACCTGTATCTGTAAGGCAAATAAACATTTTTCATAGTATGATCCTCAAACTATGGTTGATGTTGAAAAAATCAGTCTAAGCTCTGAATACCATAATATGAATGATAAGCAAAATGTACTTATCACTCAAAGTGTTTAAAAGCTAAAAAAAAATACTCAAATTCAAATATTTCAACAAAATTGAAAACACAAGCAGTATAGAGTCATCTTCAGCCAGTTGCTTTCAAATGGTCGAGAAAGAAAACAATGATCAAAGGTAGTGCAAAAAACAAAAATGTTTATCTAAACAGAGCGACTGCCCATAAATCACATCTCTTCTTCTGATTCATGTTCTCGTTCAGCATTTTTCAGGAGTCCAAGTTCTGAGGAGCAGAGTTTCCTAAGTCTAGTCTTTACCAACCTAAAGGAAAAAAAAATCATTTCAGATTAGACAATGTCTAAAATAACTTAATATTCAACTACAATGCAATGAAATCCAGATTTTTTGTGTAAATAAGGGAGACAATCCAAATATAAAATCATTTTTATATAGCTTTGGAGCTAGATGAAAAATTTTGTTTGTTAAAGCATGATATAAGTGAACACATAAAATGTGATTTTTATTTTTAGATATTTTATTTTTACCATGTTTTCAGGCTGGCCTTGAACTCACAATCTTCCCATCTCAGCCTCTCACAAAGGTCGGATTATAGGCATGCACTACCATGCCTGGCTATGTGATTGTGTAGTCAGGTATTAGAAAACAACATTGAACATTTCTTAAATAAAGGAGAGAATATCTGGGCTGTAGCAATCCTAAATGTCAGAGAACTGAAGAATTTCTTCATTAAAATCACACCTAAATGGTTCTCAAAGATGTTCACCCCTAAAAAGGAATAGCAGGAAGTCATCTCCCCCTATAAATCTGGAAGGTCAAGACAAGTCTCATATCAAGTCTGATCTCAAATCCAGCTAACACTTGCTAAAAAGACACAGCCCTTTTTTGAGTAGGGAACAGGTGCTTCAACCACATGTTATGGCCCTGAGGTATCCTTGATCCTGTGACTATTTTATTGTGCCAGAGAAACTGACTACAGGTTGGGCAGGACAGGGATTATAATTTTTGAGAATGAAATATCTGAGATTGCTTAATGACAAAGTTCATCAGGCTCTCCACTTCCCTGATGACACGAAAAAAGAAAAAAGAATTATGTAAAGCTTTTTCTGTGCACATTTATCTTAACACACTGCATTACATATACATCAATAAAATAATTTCCAGAGATGCATACAGAAATGGAAACAAATTTGATAAACCAAATCAAAGTTAATTTTCTTTTGGATAAAATTTTCCTGGTCTATCTGCATCTTCTTTATTTATTTTTTAAAGAGAACAAAACCAAATGAAATAAAACAGAATAAAGCCAAACAAAACAGAACACTGAAAGTGATAGGGGACTTGAAAACAGGATAATAGGAAATCAACAATGGTTACCATAATGTCTCTTATTATCTTCAAAACTGTTGCCTATACCATCAGACATAATAAAATCAAATAAAATAGAACAGAATAAAAGCAATCAAAACAGAATATTGAATAAAACAAAACAATAAAATGGAACAAGACAAAACAGTGAAAACAATATTGGATTTCAAAGCCAAGACAGAAGGAAAGCCCTATGTTTGCTATACTGCATATAATTATCCTTGTAATACACATTAAAACTGTGGCTTTAGGCCTGCAAAGCTAGTCAAACAATACAAACATTAAGTTGTTTTTGTACCTTAACTGCTATCAACTCAGCCAGTGTTCCAAATCAGTTGATTGCTTACAGGAAGGGGGGGGGATTTATTGTCTTCCAGCCCACACACCAGCTAGGTCACCAGTTTCTCCTCCTGGGTCCCACATGGCTTGTGCTGGCTCATGCAAAGGGTGAATTAGCTTCTTGTTTCTCTTTCCAGGCCTGGCATGTCTTCTGGCAATTCACGGGAAAGGCATATTGGCTTCTTTCTCCTCCCAGGTCCCACAAGGCTTGTGCTGGCTTACAAGAAGGGCAAATTAGCTTCTTATTACTCCTCCCAGACCCCAGCATGGCTTCTACAGACTCATGGGAAAGGCAAAATGACTTGTTTGTACTCCTGGGCCTTGCATAATTTGTGCTGGCTTATGGGAAGGGTGCATTAGTTTCTTGTTTCTCCTTCTAGAAAAAACTTCTTCCCACTCACAGGAATAGTATATTGGCTTCTTTCTCCTCCAGGGCCCCACATGGCTTGTGATGACTCATGAGAAGGATAAATTAGTTCCTGGTTTCTCTTCCCAGGCCCAGAATGGCTTCCGTTGACTTACAGGGAGTACAGAATGAGTTGTTTCTCTTGCTGGGTCCCACGTAGCTTGTGTTAGCTCACAGGAAGGGCAAATTAACTTCTTGCTTCTCCTCTCAGACTATGTATGGCTTGTCATCTTTTGGCTCTTAATTCTTATTTTCTGACTTTCCTCCTTTTCTCTCTCCCTCTTATACTTCTTCTTCTTTCTTCCAGTTTTATTTACCACACATGAATGACTAAGGACTTACAAAGGATTCAAGCCATGTCTTACTTTCTCTTCTGATGAAATTCTGACTGTCCTTGTCAGATTGTCATGACTTTACTTGTGCTCTAAGTCATACTAAGGCTTTATAAGAGCAGAGATTTCATCTTATTTGCTACTTTAACCAAAGCAGAATCCAGAGCAATGTTTGGTACATAATAGTAGTTCAACACACATTTGACATTTCTTACTTGGGAAAATGTGCCAGGAGCTCATATAAGTCACATTTTCATAGAGGTTAATTCTTCACTTCCAATTTAACATTAACTCCTTTATACAACAAGGTCTGAGCAGTATCAATAAAATCTGCTAGCTTAAGGGCCAAGAAAAATTGTTCAAATTTATTTTTCTTAATTATTAATTGACTGTGTTGAACCCAGTGTCCTCACACCTTTAAGCTATGGTTCTCACAAAAGGCTGGTACTGTCTAACACATCAAAGACTGAAGAGGATTTTTGTCATCTTTTTAAAACCACATGTTAGGCCGGGCATGGTAGCACACACCTATAATGCTAGTACTCTGCAGGCTGAGGCAGGAGGATCTCTATGTGCAAGTTTTAGGTTAGTCTGGGTTACATAATGAATTTAAGGCTAGCCTGAACTGTATAACAAGACCTTGTCTCCAAAAGAAAAAAAATTCCATGTTATTTCCACATTACACAAGTTCTATACATGTGAAACACAATTAAGTAATTGATTAGTTTCATTCCTGAAGACTCTTGTGATTAATAAAACAATTCATGGCTACTTATTGAAAACAGTTGTTAACACAGACTCTGATGACTCCTCCTGTTTCCCACTTCTTGTCTCTAAGGTGCATCTGCTGCTGCTACAGAACGCCAAACTGAAACACATTCAGAAACTTTTATCAGGCTTTATCTACCAAGTGAAGCTCTAGGATTTGCTTATGTGGATATAACTACTGAAGGCAGATTTACATCTGAGGAAACAAAGATAAAGTGTTAATAAAGGCTAGTTACTAATATGATGCCAGCCACTGAACTAGGGTCAGGGTGCGTTTGTGCACTTGATCTCACATGTTTTATTCATTTAATGTCATTAGTCTGATAAAAAACCAGAACTGAGATAGTGGATCTACTTCCAGAAAACTGCCTGGCATTTGGACTTCTCTATGTGTTGGTCAAAATCATTTATACAATTCAATGCCTAGAAGATACGTCTGTATGATAACATTTTCCTACCAATAAAAGGATGACTTTTGAATTAGTTTTGTGCAACAGAAGTGTTTAAATGTGAAATAAAGTATAATCAAGTAATGAGATTTCCACACAGTTTGATCTCACCTATGACTAATAGATAAGGAAATAACACTGCAAGCGTGGAACTGGATGGGCCAGTCTTTCTTTCAACTATTCCTCTGAAAAACTGAGTAGTGCAGATTTATCTTTCAGATATTTTAGAAGCAATACAGTTCATAACCTACTTACACTTCAATGAGGGTCTCAGTTTTATCTCAAATCCTGACACTTATTATTATGAATTAGTTATAAAGTATTACACAGTGAAATCCTGACCAGCAAGTTTTCAAGGCTCACTGGCCTGAAATTTACGACCAAAAGAGCCAGTCATATGACCTCATCAAAAGGTAGTACTGAATCTGTAAATATTTTAAAGTTATGATTTTTAAGTTTTATCAAAATATGTTTAGAAATATTGAACTCTTGGTTTTATCGTCCCAAAAGCAATAAGAAAATGAAACCAGAAAGCATATAAAACATGGTTTTCAACAAATGAAGCCTATGTTTACATATTCAAAAAGCACAAATTTATTAAAATAGCCAACAAATGTTTATTAAGCATATACTTTACGTTTAGCAGTGTGCCGGCAGGTGTGGGACTATGAAAGGTTTCTTTCACAAACAGACAACAATCTAGCTAACACATAAGACCCAGAAGTCAACAGTACAAGACAGTTCACAACTGCTGAACTGTCTAGTAGATACAAAAGTGCAGTAAAGCTTAGGATGCAAGATGAGCAAAAGCTACAAGAGTCACAGAAGCTTTCATAGAAGACATGTGCATGTATTGTGGATAGATCTGACAGAGGGGAATGTCTGGTCACAAAGATTAAAATGACATGTGATGGGTCAGGAAGAGTTGTTATTAAAGACAAGAAAGGACTTTTTGGTTTCTAGAGAACGGTAAATAAATAAGTATATCAGTCTTCTGAAGGTTTTTGAAACAGGAAGAGGTCATAATCTTCTTCTGACTCTGGAGGGGATCTGACATGGGGGAGAAAATTTCCTTGAATTCTGGCACTATTCTTGGAGGCTGCCCAGACCTTATGGAGATGAGGCCCAGTTGTCAGCCTAGAACAAAAGGGGAAGAAGTCAAGTTTCACTCAGAGGTAGAGACAGCCTCAAGGATGAATTCATGCACATGCTTTTGGAGAATGGAACAGAAGTAGAAGTCAGGCAATAAGGAGACAAAATTTCTGGGCACCCACTAAAATTTAAACCTCTAAAAGGAGTCAACCACAGATGAAAATGGGCTGGCCCAAAGTCTAGCAATGACATTTGGGAATTAGACAAGAGAATAGTTTCTAAAACCCAGTGTCAGTAGTAGTCATAAAACACAAACATAAAGCAGGAGGGTTGAGTTGGAGTTTATATCCAGGGAGAATGAAAGCAGTTTCTAACTGAAGCTGAGACCCAGTAGACCTCGAAGAGGCTCCAGCATTCTAGGAATCTTTTACATGTATAGCATCTTATATGGTAGCCAGTATCTGCACATGAATAGTTAAATTACCTACATATGCACAGAAAAATTACATGATACTTAGCCCCATTTCAAATGCTCACTAGCAAGTGGCTGCCGTGTTGAACACCGTAAATATAAAACATTGCAGATAAAGGACATTTCAAGCAGGATTGAATTCTAGAGGATTAGGCGCTGGAGTCTTTAAACCTGGTAACTGCGATTAGCTAAATTCATTAGGGTTTGGCACTAGATACCTTAAGAAAAAAAATCATTATCATCCTTTTTATTCCCACTTATCTTACAAGTTGAGGCTTAATTTTCAATGCTGAGAAACATCCCCTAAGCTCTAACAATGCTTTGTCTTTTTTCCCCCTTAATTCCTGAATTTTAGTTGTATATTTCTCTAAGTTGGTCCTAACTACAGGACTAAAAATTCCTCATAAGTAAGATCTAAACTTCATATTTTTTTGTACCAAAGAGAAAGGAGAAAGAAAATGCAAGGGGAGGAGAACAACAACAAAAGGGTTATGATAATGTTTATTGAACTCTTACTATGTTTTAAACAGTTTAAACACATGCTCTAATTTAGGTACCATTATTATCCTAATTTTACAAATAACAAAACTGAGACTTGTTGTGGTTAAATAATTGTTCTGAAATTAAGTAGCCAATAGGCACCATGCCTACGCATATATGTTCTTACCTATTTGTTGACTGGTTGTCATTTGTTCATGGAACATTGTATCAGGATTCTTATAAAAATGTACCACATAACTTTTGGAAATAGTGGAGTTCATGCCAAGATTTGCAGGTCCTCAAATTTAAAGAATTTCACAGGAGTTTGTGAAATAATAGTTCGAAGCTTAGAAACTACTGTACATACAATCTATACACATGGGTAAATGACTCACTACAGACTGGGGCGGATCACTCAAAAGAGTAAACAGCACATGCAAAGAAGAGGGTGATAACAAATGAGTCGTGGATCAGAGGCACAGCTTTTTCACTTTCAAATCAGAATATATTCTTTTTACTGAAAATATCTGCATTTATAGATATTCTTCACCTAAACTACTCTGTCTTATGAAATGGTAAGGAATGAAAAAGAGCTTTTGAATTTTTAGTTCAAAAATATTAAACCTCGATGATCATACATGTATACCAAAGAATGAATCTTCTTCCATGAGCAAAAGGTACTAACTTACCAGGTGACAAAAGCATAATCCACTCCAATGATGATATAGGATAAGGCATAATGCCAACAAAAGCATATGGCAAGAAACATAATATTGTCATGATCATTCAGATCCCATGCAGGACCTCCACTGGGGGGATACAGGACAAAACCAATCTAAAATTCAAAACCAGAAAGCACATATTAAAATAACCAACAAATTTTCAAAGATAGCACATTTCAAAATGTTTCGTAGCTATCATCACTTATGTGAGGTACTGCAGATATGACATTGGTTTTTTTCCTTCTTATTTTAATAATATAAACAATATCTGCCAAGCTATATATCTGAAAAATATTAAAAGAGTAGTTATTGTTCAAGTTTCAAAATACCAATAGTACTTATTTCTGGGGATGGGTAAAATTTCAGAATTCGCTACATGTCTATATTGTGTCGTTTTACTCTATTTCAAAATCAGAGTAAAAATGTTGTAAAATTAATGAATGTACACAAACTTCATTAAATAAAACATGGAAGCTTTCCTTCTGTGATTAAAAACAACAAAAAGATACCTGCTTTCAGATTTCTCAAAACAGGCCTTAGATTGAAGAACTTGGAATGAAGTTTTTCAAGCCTTAGAAGAAAACAATTTCCAGTAAAGATTAATACAACTTGGAAATATGCTTTAATATTAATGAAAAGAGTATCTAAAAAGATTCATGACCACCAAACAAGCACTGCAGAAAATAGTCAAGGAAACTGTAAACACAAAATTACTAAACCAAAGTTACTAAAGAGCCCAAAGGAAAGAATACATCTAACTCTAATTGCAACATTAGTTAAACTAAAGCAGAATAGGAATGAATCATCACCAAAAAGAATAGAGTGATAAGAATCAGTAAATACCCTTCAGTAACAACACTCAAAGTACCTGGTGTTAACTCACCAATCAAAAGATATCAACTGGCAAACTGGAATAAAAAACAAAACTCAACTAGAAAAGAGAAATGTCACTTGTCAAAAAACACACAGGCTGTGAAAGGATGGAAAATTATACTTCATGCAACTGGAGCCCCAAACAACAAAGCAGAACTATCCCAATTTCAAACAAAGTAGACTTCAAATCAAGACCAATTACATATTGGTAAAGGAGAAGTAGCAATTGTAAATACATATGCATCAAATATCAGCATATGAAATTTCATAAAACAAAAGCCTCTTGACATGAAGGAAAGATAACACCACACTCTAACAAAGAGACCAACCAAGCCAAAACCAAAAAAAGAAATATCAGAGTTGAATCACAACATTGAACAAATAGACTTAACAGATACCTACAAAGTATTTCATTCAACAACAGAATACACATTCTTCTTAGCAGTTTCTAGAACTTTGTACAAAATAAACAATATGTTTGGTCATAAACCATTTAAAATAAATACAAAAAATTGAAAAAATTTTTTACATTCTATTAGATCACCATGCAATAAAATTGAAACTAGAAATCAACAGCAAAAGAAACTGCAGAAAATATGCAAACATGTGGAGAGCAATACATTCCTAAATATTCAGTGGACAGAAAAAAATCAGAGAAGAAATTTAAGGGTTACAAGAATGAAGTGATAATGGCAGTACCAGAACCTGTGTGTCACAATGAAACCAGTTGCAATAGAGAAATTTATGGCTCTGAGCAACTACATTAGAAAAATACAGTATTGCCAAATAAATAACTTAATGATACATATTAAGGGCCTAGAAAAGTAAGAGCAAATCAAATCTAAAACTTGTAGAAAGAAATTATAAAGATTCAAATAGAAACCACAGAAATCGAGACTAAAAATACAAAGAATCAGTGCATCAGTTATCTCTTTAAGAAGAGAAAGATCATTAAACCATTAACTAAATTTATAAAAAAGAAAGCAAACAAGCGAATCAAAAAAATCCAAATCTGTGAAATTAGAAACGAAGAAAGCAAATGACAGACACTGATGAAATCCACAGTAATATATGAAACTATTTTGAAAATTTGTAATCCAAAAAACTGGAAAATCTGGAAGAAATTGATAAATTCCTAGACACACAAAACTTACAAAAATTAACCCAAGAATATAGAAATCTTTGAATTAACAAACAACAGACATTAAAACTGAGTCAATAATTAGCAACTCTACCAAAAAAATGCATACATATATTTTCTAGGCATACAGTTATGCCTCCCAAAACAAAAGACCCAATTTAAAAATAGGCAACTAAAGTGAATAGATACATCTCAAAAGAGTGTAAACGGCCAGTAAGAACATAAAAAATGTTCAGCAACTTTAGCTATAAAGGAAAAGCAACTCAAAACAGTATTGACATTCTGTCTTAGTCCAAAAGAAATAGCTAGAATCAAGGACTAAAAATCAAATATTGGTGAGGTTGGGGGCAGGAGGAACCTTCTACCTTGTTGGTAGGAATGTAAAATAGTACAATTAATATGGAAATCAGTATGGAAATTTCTCAAAAACCTAAAAACAGAAGCTTCATTTGATCCAACCATGCCTCTTCTGATCATCATATTAGAGTGATACATTCATATTCATGTTTATAGCAATCCACTTCACAATAGCTATGTTATAGAAACAACCTGTATACTCATCAACAGATGAATGGCTAGGGGATCCCTCGTAAGTATTCACAATGGAGTGTTAGTCATAAAGAAGAGTAAGTTTAAATCATTAGTTGAAAATAAATAGATCTTAGTATCTTAATGTTAAAGGAAATAAATCAGACATAGAAGGTAAAATATTACACATTCTCTTACATGAGAAACTCGAAGTATAAATTTAGAGAACCAAATAAAGATTTTAGGAAACAATGAATTAGACTTTGTGGACATAGTGAAAGGGGGAGCTGGTCAAAAAATAATCAAAATATGATTCATATATACCAATACCCCAAAGTGAATATAATTGTTATATACCACAAACATATACTAATAAAAACTTTTAAGAGATGTTTACTTACTTCACTTCTTTCAAAAATATACTAGAAATTTTAGCTCAGCAATTAGGAATAAAAAGGGGGTTACATTTCTATTGGAAAGGAAAAAGTAAAATTATCTATATTTACTAATGACATGATCTTATACTGTATAGAGAAAATCTTAAAGAACCTACCCAAAAAATTATCAAGACTAATGAACCAGTTTAGTATGTTGCAAATCAACTCATGAAAATCAGTTGTATTTTAACAGACAAGCAATGAACAACCCAAAATGTAATTAAGAAAATAATTCCAATTACAAGAACATTGAAAAAAGTAAAATAAATAAATAAATCCAGTCAAGGAAACTCATGGCTGGGATGGTAACTGTATTGTACAGTGCTTGTCGAGCATGCACGAGGCTCTAAGATGAATCCTCAATACCATTTCCCAAATAAAATAAAATGAAATGCAAGAAATTCAGGATTTGGACACCAAAAACTATACAACATTGTTAAAATAAATCAAAGTAAATCTTAAGAAATGAAAAGGTGTTGCATTTATAAAGACTAGGCTTAATATTGTTGAGATTATAAAACCACCCAAAGCTAGCTACAGATTTAATGCAACTCCTATTAAAATCTTAATTGCTTTTTTGCATAAATAAAAATTGATTGCAAATTTCATATGCAATTGCAGTTGACCTAATTAACCAAGGGGAAAAAAGAATCAAAGTTGAAGGACAGACACCTCCTTATTTCAAAGTTTACTACAAAACTATAGTAAACAAAATTGTAATAGTATAAAGACATGCATATAGTTCAAAGAAATATTATTGAGTCCAGAAATAAAACCATATATCTATGATCCATTGAATTTTAACAAGATTTCAAGGTCACTCAAATGAAGAAATAAGAATCCCTTCAACAAATGGTGCTGGGCCAACTGGATTTCATATTAAAAACACTAAATTTGGACTTCCACCTTACTATATATACAAAATTAACTCTAAAACCATACAACTCTTACAAGAAAACAGAAAGTGTTATAACCTGGGATTTGGTAACCCAAATACAATGTATCAGAGAAAAATCACATAAACTGAACTTCATCAAAATTAAAAACTTTATTTTCAAAGGATACTGTTAAGTAAATAAAAAGACAACTCATCACATTGGAGAAAATATCTGTAAATCATGTATCTGATAAAGGATTATTGTACATAATGTAAAAGACGAAAAATAACCCTCCAAAATCATTTCAATTGGCAACAAAAAACATTTCTCCAAAGCAAGTAAACAGATAGTAAATAAGCACATGGAGAGATGAGTAATATCACCATCACTGGGGAAAGGTAAATCAAAATACAAGGAACTATCACTTTGTACAATGGCAATAATAACAATTAACAAAAAACTGTTAGTGTTGGTAAGCATAAGGAGAGATTGGGATCCTTACACAGCACATTGTTGATGAGAATGTGTAGCCTCAATGGATTAATAGCTGACAATTAGAAAGTTGGTTGTCAAATTGCTATATGAGTTGGCAATTCCACTACTGGGTACATACTCAAAGTAGACAAAAATTTGTATGTAAATATCTACAGCAGCATTATTTTAATAGTCAAAATAAGAAAATAATCCAAATATCCATCAACTGATGATAAAAAAATGTGCATACCCATACAATGTAATATTAATCAGTCATAAAAAGGAATGAATATTAATACATGCTACAACATCAATAAAACTCAAAAAATATTATATTATTTAACTAGGAAAAAATGGGTCACATATTATATGATTTTGTTTCACATTAAATTTCCAAAATATGTAAATATCGGCAAAGACAAATAGCCAATTAGTGGTTTCTACGGACTGAGAGGAAAGAGCAATAATTTTTATCAGGTCCAGGGTATTCTTTTGGAGAGATGAAAATGTTTTGAAGCTTGTTATAGGTGATAAGGATACAATACTTTGAATAAATGCCCCTGAATTGTACACTTTAAAAAGGTCTAATTCTGTGATATATGAAGTTTATTCCAACAAAAAATAAACACACCATATTAGTTAGATAGATAGATTTCAAGTCTGTAGAATTAAATAAAATGGAACACCAAATGTCTCCTGTCTACTGGCCATGTGTCATGTACATGGCTTAAGTGATTCCCTACAGTGGCCCTTTGGGTATGGTTTATTCCCCTCATGTTCAT